GGACGTGGGCTATTCTTTATATTTTGAATTGAATATTTGATTACAGGCCTGAAAATAAAAGCTGTTGGAACTTTTGAGAAATGGGCCCGCGAGGCCCTCATCATATTTTTAGGCCAACATGGCCCAGAAAAATATTTTTGAGGCTAGGTCTCCAACTTTTCTTGGGAACTGGAAGAGTGGGCCGCCCTCTCAGTTTAAGATACCACTAGACTTAGTGTAGTTTTCTATAAAGGTAAGTATAAAATGACTTTCATCTGACTAATTTTACTCTTTTCATTCACCTAATTGTTTTTTTTCTTGATTTTTACGTTACCCTTTAGTTCCCAACAATAGTGTAGCTCTGTTGTAGGTAAAATCCATTCCCAGGTTAAACCTGAAATTATTTTCTTTTTGCTCCCCTGAATAAAGATTTAGGGCTAGGAAAGAAGGGAAATTCCAAATCAAGTTAGATTGTAACCTGAGAAAGGAATCACAGGAAAAAAATAACGGATTCCCATTTTTGGATATTTTTGGGTATTTAAAGAATACCCACAAAAATCCCAAATTTGGAAGAGTGAGACAAGTCCCAATCTGGGAACTTGGTTGGGAATTCCCAGGTTGGGACTTGTCTCACTTTGCCAAATTTGGGATTTTCATGGGTATTCTTTAAATACCCAAAAATATCCAAAAATGGGAATCCGTTATTTTTTCCTGTGAATTTACCCGCAACAGCACCACCAATGTTTCAGTACATAGACTTCATTCAACACACAATGCCTTGATTTACTCTAACAAAGAACTAGCACTTGATAGAGACGGGCCATCAAAAATGTGACTATTCCATAGTGTTTGAGCTACGCCCCTCCACTGGCTGGGTGTTTCATTATTTTGGTCAGACTGTTTAATTACAGTTTGGGTTGCATAAAATTCTATGGACATTTTCTTTTAATGATCATTGTCAAATTATCATTTGCCGACAGGTGAATGTCATCAGCTATATGGATGAAATTGGTTCCTTGATTGGTGCAAAGCCAAATCTTTGGCACCTTCTCACTACAGATCCACAGCTGGCCTTCAGATGTTTCTTTGGTACATGTATACCTGCTCAATACAGACTAATGGGCCCAGGGGCTTGGCTAGGAGCCAGGGACATTATCATGGGGGTGCAGGATAGTACACTTCTCCCACTGAAGACAAGAAAAATAGACCCACAGGATGGAACTAAGAAAATTATGAGCCAGAAGGGCTCCAGCCTGTCATGGATGTTAGGCATATTTGTTTCACTCATACTGTTCGTTTTGATATTCCTTTAAGCAGTAGCTGTAATTTAGTGGACTGTGTGTAAACATACATATTTACTCTTTAACCTTTTCACTCTTACTGAGAATTTTATTCATTTCTGAATGGATTGATTTCGTCAATGGTCTTTAAAAGTTTCAACTGTGACAGGTGTCTTCGTATTTCAATATTTGTAAACTGATAAATTATTATTATAAAAAATTCTTGAGAACATTTCATTATTAATTGTGATATTGTGATATGTTAAGACGGAATTTGCCCTTGATAACCATCACAGATAAAAATAATAGTTATTAACATAAATAATATTAATAATAATATTACAAACAAAAACTTACAGACTGTAACAATAATTATTGTTAGTCTTGTCATCTCCAACTCAATACAGTATAGCATCCACTACTAGTAACTCTCAACACAGACAACACCAACCAACCAAACAAACAGTTATTTGGAGACAGTTTGGACATTTGAGAGCTCAGGAACTGATAACCCTGTGGCCTTGTAAGTGTCCCCAGCTAATTGGAGACATTTTCCAGATCAAATTTTAATTGGGATTGTTGGTGTTTTGAAGAGAGGGGTAGACTGGTGTCAAACCCAGACTACATTAGTGAGAGGCTAGTGGTCTCACTACTGCCTCATTCCTCCTCGTGGAATTATTCAGACACTTGATGGTGATTTGTTGTGTGGATAACAGTGTCCACCTTTGAACAACTGCAGACAGCAGTTCAAAATCATGACTCTTGGGTGGCAGAAGAAACAACCAGCTCCCTAGGCAGACCCCTATGGAAGTGAGTGGGGCTACTTACTTACGTACAAGACGTTCGACTACAGTTAATAATATGATTACCATTGTTATATACATATATTTTTTTTCACCTTTTCATTTGAGCTTTTCTTTGTTTCCTAGTGCCCATTTCTCCTTCTCTCTGGAAAGCTGTTTTGTTCACATTCATGATCGCAAATTCAATAGTTTTGGAGAGAATATGATAAACTATCAGTTTGTTCGCAAAAACAAATGGACTGGTTTGTTTGCAAGAACACACGCTTTTTATTCCATGCCTGAAAAGTTACCCACCAGGGCCCAGTTGTTCGAAGGCCGATTAGCGCTTAACCCGGGGTTAAATTTAACCTGGGTTTCTTTTTCTTGTGTTCAAAAGCATTTTCTTGAATAATTTCTTGTGTTATTTTTAGAGCTTCCAATAATCAACTTGTAGACAAAAAGAATTAAAACTGAAATGCTTTTTAAGCTTTCAAATATGAATTCAAATCTCGTACTAACTGTGGGTTATCTTAACCCAGCTTTGAACAACTTGGCCCAGGACTTACAAGAACCAGTCCGTTGGTCCTTTCTTTTCAGGCAAAACGAAAATAAACCAATAACAAACAATGTTTAACTTTGTACGTAAATATCATTTTATTTTCTATGACTGGGTCTTACAATAATATGTTTAACGTTTTTATTACAATAAAAATGTCTATTAAATGCTTAATATGAAATAGAGTTCGAAAATAAAAAATATAGCGAAGTCTACCAATCTACGGAAAATTATCAGAAAATATGCATTGTTAAGTCTGTCTAATAAATTATTTACATGACAAGACAGACTCGGGTCCGTTGGTTTGGTATATATGGGCAGACAAGGGTGGAGAGGAAACAATTATGAACCTCTGGTCCATTCACAAATACTGTCCGTACACAATGTTGTATTATCTACATTTACTATCTACAATCTCTATTATTTAAATTCTGCAGCTAAGACAATCTGGTTTCCTTTCAGCTCAGTCCAGATTGGTAATTTTTTCCCCTAACTATTCACTGCAGACATGGCTTTTTCAAACTGAGGCAATTTCTGTTCAATTGAGCGAACCTAACGTCAATTAACTGATAATTTTGAGGGGTTTGTGGAGGGTGACAAAACATTAAATCACTAAAGTTAAAATTTAGAGAACACACCCCAAGAAAAAGACATTTGTTTCTACCTTGGAACATTCAACAAAAAAGAAGCACAAATGAATTTATACAATCGTGACTACTGGGTAATCATCCTAGTAGTGACAGACATTTTTAAGGATTAAGCAAGCACACCTTAACGCCAGATAGAGGGGTTTACATATTTTAAGAGCAATAACTTGAAGCATTTTCTAGCAAACAGGCTCTAACAATATTCTAGTACACCAGGTTGGTTTTGTTTTAGACACTTTGTATTTGCTTGTCAATCACAGGGAGAACAAGACGTTATTTCAAACCTGGAGTAACCTGGGGCCTTATTTTGCACACTCCTTTACCTCTACCCACTTGCCATCTACATTCACAGAAAAAATCTAAGATTTACAGGGGTTTCAGTAACTTCATAAAACTCTGACAACAGAACTGCACCTCACTTTAAGTTTTGCAATGATACAAATATCTTTAGATTGGCCAATTTTGATACTATGTATCTTGGAAAGCAGTTTTGTTCCATGCTTGTCAAAATGCTGTTTTAAAAACCGGCCCTAATATTTCATTGTTACCCAAAGGCAATATGTAGTTAGTCAACAGGGGCCTCTGCATGATGTGACATCCCCCTTGGTCATTAAACAGAATTTGTCAACTTTGGTTACTTTCTAATAAATTCTTAATAGTACTACAAAACAGGTCATTAAAAGAAAACCAGTACATTAATCAACACCCATGCTTAAGAGTGCCAAAAATGTTATTGATCATAAATATTTCTTGGTGGAGGAATACTATTAAGGAAAATAAAACGTTTTTACTAGTGTTAAGACTTCTGTGATAGTTATTTGAAATATATTACTATTAATAATCTCATCAAAAGGTTAATAGTGTTTCTAGACAACCGTCAAGTTGTTGTGGTGGCTGTGAGGATATAACAATATTAAAATATGATTAGGTTTAACCTAGGTAAATGTCAATATTCCACAATAATCATATGTAGCAACTGTAGTCCTATTTTAAAGAACAAACAAGAAAGAATGGTAGAAAAATAATTACACAAAATATCATTAAATGTTATAAATAAGAAATGAGAGTTTACAATACATGAAATGTGCGCAAAACATTACAACTGAAAAGATAATTGTGATCAGCTTTCTTACAGTGAGGGCTGCTATGAATGCACTTTCTTGAATGGCAAATACAAGTAATATTGTTCATAAATACATTGAAATAAATCATACAAGGCTGTGGTGTGTTTGCTAAGACGAAACAAAGCAGTACTGAAAGCTCAGACTCACAAGCCAAATACATGTATATCAAGTTTCTACTCCAGCATAGCCATACATGTAAAATTATGTCCATAACTCTTCACGCATTAATAATTATGTCAAGCTGAATATTTTCAGGCTTTAATGTGATTTTTTAGTTAATTGGGTCTCAAAGCCTCCATCTTAACTATGCAAATTTATACATAAGCCTTCAGTTAATTTCCCCCTTCCAAACACTGCGAACATTTCCAGTTTTAGAAATCACAAATTCTGAAATTAGAATAGATTAAAAATAGAAGTCTTGTATTGATGATGGTACAGCATATACTTTGTAAACAATTGCACAACACACATAACAAACAATGTGTGTAGATATGAGAATGTACAGCTGATTCAGAAGTACTCTTAAACTTTACACTAGAACCTACTTTCACTATGCTAACCGATAAATATTTCATTCATATGATATCTTAATATTCATGTATTTTGTAATGATTTACAACCATCTACAGTTGTAGCTTATTAGATTCTCAGAATTGGTATAAAATTCTTGTGATCTAAAATACTTTCCAACAGTTCTCTTAGCTAAAACAGTGCAACATCCATTGACAAGCTGCAACCCAAACCTATCATCCTAAAAAAATTCATACACTTGTCTAACTGTTTTACTTATTTAAGCAGGCACTTGTCTTCTTGAGAGACCAAAGATACTATGATTGAGGTTATTTCTGTGTCAAGTAATTAACATGACAAAGATGCTAAATTATCATCAAAGGGACCAGTTAGAGCAATTTTAGTCAATTGAAGCATTTACAGTTAGTGACCATTCAAAACTAACTAAAGGTATTTAAATTATTAGGTAAAATTTTATAAGGAGAAAAAAAAAGCACAAGGCAGGTAGACACGGGCAAAACTACTTCTGTTCTTTGGTTATTGCAAGTCAAAAGCTCATAATAAACAATTAGAAAAACAACTGAAATACTATAATCTAGCAGCTTTGTAATATGACAAATTCTACCCATGAGCTATCGGATTCAAAGTTCTCAAAAGCAGGATTGTAATAAAATATAGAATACATTACTTTTATTTAGTAGTACTAAAAGGAACTAGAGCAGATAAACCTGTAAAAAGCCTCTGATACAAAAAATGCCTTCCTTAATAAGCTCTGAGCTTTTTAAATAACAATAAACAAAGTAAATAATAATAATAAAGGAGATTGTTAAACAGATAGAGAGAAAACCAACATATTTAGAGTACTTTACTTGTAAGTACAAAGAAATTCCATGATATTATCCTTCTATTTCCTAATACACACTTCTAATCCTTAGACGAGAACTTACAACAAATAAAAATGCATTTTGTAAGAATACATTCACTCCTTCTTTTGAATAGTCACTTTAGGTACTGTCTCATTAAATTATTAATATTAATTTATTATTTATAGGCTTGAAAAACTTATAGTGGACCTTTTATCCCTATTCCCACCACAAAATAATAAGACACTCTTTAAGAGCTCAGGAAATGTTGCACTTAATATCTCCATTTTACTAAAAATAAACATTTGACTAACACCTCTTAAGTGTCACGAGCTTGGCTCTTGTACTAATTTTAACTATGAAGACTGATTTTCCAACAGAACGGAAAGTGTGTCATGGAGTTGGCATAACATGTACAGATGAACAGGAAGACAAGAACGTCTGTCACGGGAAACAGGATCCACAGTCAGCCATGACAGCGCATCATATGTCTGTAGTATTGACCTTTAAGTAAAATAATAATAATTTTAAAAATAATTATGCACATCTCAGTCCATTTGTTTAGCAGTATTTCAACATAATATCATACAGTCAAACCCATATTAACCCAATAGTGACCAAACATCAGTTTCCTTCTCACAATATCCACACATTTTAATAAGGGTTCATCAGGAATTGGTCTGAAACCTACTTGAAACATCAATTTATTCAAACGCAAGCATGTTAAAGAATTTAACATCTCTTGCAAATAATACATGTAAAATGTCCAAAAATTGCACAATACCAGTTTTAAGAGATTTCTGCGAAAAGGTCTCAACATGAACCAGGTATGCACATATATTTTGAGCATTTTTATGGTCGGTTTGATTGCTTAGCCACATGTAATCACGTAAAGAGAACAATAAACGTCTATTTATCAGTCGTCCCTTTCTATTTCAGAGTCTTATCTGTCATCAACTTATCAAAAACAAAGCCAAACCACTCGTATTTATTTTGGGGTGGCTACTTAATAGGGGTAAAAAACAATTAAAAACCTTCACCAGGACGACCAAAAGGTGGCCATGGTCACTTAACAGGGGTCGCCACTTAATATTTTAAACCCTAATATCAAAATAGAGATTCTCATTTACTGTCCCTATCCTTTTTCAATAGAGGTAGTGGGGAGAATTTGTTGAAATATCAATTAGACTCATCTTCCCTGATCATGTACTCAGTTCTCATGACCACTCTGTTTTCTAAAGCATTGATACTATAAGAAGAAATTTCATGCTAATCACTCTTAAGGCTTAAAGGGTTAATAGGGGTTTTACCTATAGTATTTAACTGAAAATAATTTGGGGATTTTGATAACTGGCCACTTATATAGGGGTTCGACTGTATCTGTAATGGGATGGGCTTGTCAATTGTAAAACGTTTCTTCCTGATTAAAGGAGCTGTGTCAGAAAATTTATCAAAATTCAAACAGAGGGAATTGCCACCAAACTAGGTGAAACATAAAAATAACTGCCCAAAATGTTAAAAGAAGACTTGGCTAACCTTAGCACATGACAGGGTGACTTAGTAGCTAGGGCATGCCACGAAGTCACAAAACCATTGATTCCTTCCATTATGTCTGGATTATGGATGTGAAGAGCAGCCTGAACAGAGAAAGAAATAAAATCCAATATAGTTAAAGCTATGGTAATGATGTCAATTAAGATTTGATTAACAGCTTCACCAGAAAAAGGACAGTAATGTGACCACATGTATGACATCTGTTACAAGAAACATTGTTGTTCTAGTTTGCTACAAGAATTTCAGTCTCCACTCTTGACCAAGACATATTTTGACAGAGTAAACCGTATTGAGTCATTACCTTTAGCATAACAGGATCATTTGTTTCTGAGTGAGAAGAGTTTGCCCAAAATGTCACTGGCATCTTTCCTGTCTGCACAGTTGATATCATGTACCCCTGCGCTTGTGGGACAGCAAGGCTGTCTTCACCTTCCTGTCCATGGGATTCTGCAGTTGTAGTGTTTGCCATTGATGGTGAAGGTGTGGAATGTAAAGGTTGAAATGGTGAAAGTCTTGAAATTGGTTGAAATGGTGAGGGTGCGGACATCGCAGGTGATGCAGCAGACAGCTTTGGTGGGCGTGACAAGGGTGGTGTCCCCTGCATAGGAGAGGAATCCAATGGAGATGGCATCATGCAGCTTGTTGGAGACAGTGGAGGGGGCGATGCATTCAACAAAGGAAACAAATGTCTCAGAGTGTCTTGATAATTCTCATCATCATCCACTCCAGCCAAAAGAATGTCCGTGTCAGTTACAACAGTCTCGGTTGTTGTGTCAGGTGAGGCATGTGACTTGGTGTTGGAAATTTTGCCAATGGAACACTTCATTGATGAAACTGGCATTACTGCAATGTATGTTTGTGATACATCTGGTTTTGGTACAGTGCCAACAGATACTTGAGAGTTGCTGCTTCCTTCAAACAAGGCAGTGACCTTTGGTAAAGCTGAAAAAAAAAGGGTTTCGAAATTTAAAGAAATGTTCAATGTTTCAACCAAAGTGAGCCTCCAGCAAGGCCTTTGGCCTTTAAGGAAAAGACCTGGTAGCATAGCACAGCAAGAGTACAAGAAAGGCACGTAGTAATGATGGAAATACAAAGACAAGGAGAATTTGTTGACACAAAAGGCCATTTTCATGATGACAACATTTTGACTACAACTACCAGAATTCATTTCCTTTTGCTTTCTTGTTTAATTTTCTCAATCTCACAGAGGTTTAAAAAAACAATAGCCCTAATTTGCAGAAGAAAACAACAAACTGAAGGATGTTGGTAGTTGTAATAAAATGACATCATCATGCTATTGTCCTATTGCTACATGTAAATGTTACACATCAAATTTGTTCTCAGGTTAAAAATTTTTAACCTAGGTTGATTCTTGATTTCCTTTGTCTACTAGGGCTAGAGGACAAAGTAAATTGAGAATCGAAATAGGTTAAATCAAAATTAACCTTAGATCAAATTTGACCTGTAACATATATATGCTACATTATGTACTATGAATCAACTGGTCACAGAACTGAAAGAAATGTCAAAATAAGTGCGCAATTACTGCAGTTGAACAAAATTTACCAGACACACTATCATATAACTTGCAGCCGTAACCAGATAACAGACGACATTCAATTCACTTTAAAGTATGATCCTTGCAATTACCTCTTGCCATGTATAGTCTGATTGACGGCTCTGGTTCCAGCGAAGTAAGACTGGTTCCTAATATTGCTGGCCGATTTTTGTGTTTCATGGAGAAACAAGTCTTGCAAGTGTCCTTAAACATCTGGTCACCACTGAGCACAGACGTCTTGCTCAGTATTTCTTTCCAGTCTACAAACAGAAAGTAATAAATGCATTTAAATGCAATTTAAAGGAGTTAACAACTATGAGCGCCTGGGTGCCTAGGTCAGCGGTCTTTGGCATGCGCATGCCCAGTGGCTGGCTACATCGATCATGTGATTCCTTGGCGCGTTCAGTTTTACCTTCGTGCTGGGTTCTAGCAGCCATTTTCTTCCCCTCCCGCCCTTCCCCTAGGCTTATTGGGTTTTTCTCCACTGATGTTTTTTTTTTTCAGTGTGACCAGTGTCTGTTCCTTTCCTTTGGTGTGGGGGCTCATGGCTGGGTTGCGCTGTTGTGCCAGTCATGGGGGCATTATTTCAATCTAAGGGCTGGCTGCCAATAGTGGAAGCCCTTGGATACTTCAGGCACGCAACCTCCATTTTAGCGATGCAGTTGTTAATATAAAAATTAATGTAAATATATGTAAACATGTTGTTTATAGTGGGAAAGCATTCAGCTGCTACTGAATCCATGTACCTTTCAGGTTACCTACTTATTAAAAGTGAGCAAGTAATCCAAGGCTGAAAAAGAGGATATCATTTGCTTACCTTTTAGTTCCTCTGGGCCTATCCTCCCAAGTTTGGTTATCACCAACCTCCAAGGAATAAGAGACGTTGCAATAACACCTTGACAAAATTCCCAAAGTTTTATGAGTGCCTTTGTTCGTGCTGCAGTCCTCCGTGGCCTGTTGTCAGGCCTTAGAGGTGGTTCAACTGATATGACACAAGATTCGATCAACTCTCCTACACTGTCCGTGCAAACAGCAAGAAGGTAGTTTTCATCATGGGAGAGACAATAACCACAATACAATACAGATGCATTCTGAGCAGAAGCCAGCAAGCTTGCAGCAGTCTCATCTCCTGTGTCTACTGGTGGCAACGGTATTGGCTGACACAAGACATAAGGTGCAGAGTACACTTTCGCATTTTCCACCTACAAAAATGAGGTACATGAGTTTTTCCTTTGTACAGCAATAACCCTTTGACAGAGAGAGCAATAAATAAATAAACTAAATAAACTAACATGAGAAAGTTTAGTGTTGTCCAGAGTAGGAATGTGGGCGGTGAATGACATTTACAACAACCGTTACAGAAGTCATCATCAAAGTCAGAGGTAGTTGTTCGGTGTCATGCGATAGCGTTAAACTAGAGTGGTTAACCTGATTGGTCAATGAGCTCATAAGTGGTGCATTTTGATCCATCTTCTGTCACTGAAAAACTGCCACAAAATCATTCCCAAGGCATCCCTTCTTTTCCCCATAGCACAACCAAGAGCAAGAGAAAGATATGAGAAACAGAGAGAGACCCTGAGCATAACGTTGATAATTCTGTCATGGTATTGTTAGTTAAATCTTGTCTGTTTTTGTGTAGTTAGTCTATTGTTTGGTTGTTTTGCTCAAGTTCACCTATAATTCAGGGTTTACAAATCTCTTTACTCTTTGAAGTCAGGATGTGTCCCCCTCCTAAAATGATGGAGTCATTTTTCCAAATGTAGAGTCACTTCATGCTACGTACATGACATACCTTATGCCTACTCTGGGGAAGCAGCTGGAAAGAAAATTTTACATATTCAACACACCTTTGTATCCTTTCACTAGGATTCAAACAGTTTAAAAATTATGGCTGGCAGAAAATATAATTCTGCTGAACATTTTTGGGTCCGAAGCTGGAGCCAAAATGACTCCCTATAAGAACTTTGTTGGAGTCGTGGATATATTTCTGGGGTACTTGTAAACCTAGAATAAGTCTTGTGCAAGATGCCGGTAAGTTAATCTTACCTCTCTCTGGCGAAACAGAGCCTCATGTCTAGCAGCTGGTCCAAATCCTGTTAAGGATTTAGCATTTATATTCAGCTGTAAGCTCTTACGACATCGTGAGAACACTGAGAAAGCCAAACGCTTCAGCTGTGTAACGAATGTCAGAGCTGCATCACGACTACCAGTCAGAGTGTCCACTTGAAGAATCTGTTGAATTGGAACAACCTAAAAAGAAATAATACAAAGTTAAAACAATTATTTTGAAATTATGGCCGTTACATCTAAGCCCACCCCATACATTTTTCTACTTCATCCCCTGCCAATTTTAATCATCACTACATTTGAAGGGGGGTATACATGTGTGAAATTAAGCCCCATGACATCTGATAAACAGCTAAATTCTCCTTTCATTTTCCAATCAGAAATTTTGTAAATCAAAGGGGGAAAGAAAAATCAGAGCAGGATTTACTGAGGGCCTTATTGAAAACACCCAGGCGCCATCATTTTTGTACTTAACTTGGTGACCTATAACAGGTATAAAGCACAAATCATCACCTTTCAACAAAACATTCCTACAATTGGCCAGAGTTTAGGTGGACTTACTGGAGACACAGTGTAAAAAAGTAAATTCTGGGCTAACCTCAGGAAACAGCTGACATTTTGCAAAACCACCACTGGTTGCCCCCGCAAAATGACGTCTGAGAAACAAGTGCAGAAATTCCATACTGATGACACAACACTACCCAGATCTGGGTAGAGCATCTGATTGGCTAAAAATTTGCTTCAACCAATCAGAAGCACTAGCCAGATCTCGGTAGAGACATGTCATCAGTGCACACATGTCCAATATACACAAACAGATACGATTCGTCAAACCGATGGTCCATTGGTACCAATGGTACGATTGGTACCAATAGAAACTGATGTCATTCCAATGGTTCTATTGGCAGTGTGGCATTTCTGTGCTTTTTCTAAGACATAATTTCACAGGAAAACCAGCGGTGGCATCTCAAAATGTCGACTTTTCTCTCAGGCTAATTCTGGGCAGAACAGCAAAATTTTATACCTGAAAGATGACATTCTTTTTGCTTTCTGCAAGGTCAGGTGCAATCTCAGCAATGCACCGCAGAAGCCCTACAGAGGATGGGACATTCTCATCTCTTGAGTTAGTGGTGAATGGATTGACAATGTAAACAACAACAGTTGGTGGCTCATTACTGTTGTGCTCATTATCATCATCTCCAAATGCCGATGGTGCTTGCTCGGAAGTTGGAGTTCCCAGACTAAAATGACAAGAATAAATTGTGAGGAGCGGAACAACAACGACAAAGAAAAAACACGGAAATGCATGCATAAGTGATTCATCCATTCCTTTATCCATCCATACCCTGGCACTAACTCCACACTCACCCCAAAAAACAGGGGATTTATGGTGAACTTATGTTTTCAGTACAGAGATTTAAATCAGACTAGTGACTGAAGGGTTTCAACTGAATTTCACTTAATTCTCGGTACCTAACTAACTTATTGTAAGTGCAGGGTTTTCACATGTTGCCAATGCCTGATTTAAGAATTTGCACCAAGATTTTTTCTGGACTAATGAATCGATTAGTGCAAAATGAGAATGACCAGGAGAGCGGAAAATTAGCTACTCCCCATTCGTTCTCTTAAATGGAATCCACACCCAGGCAGGGGGGGTTCAAGTAAGAATTTAGTTCACTGCACTAATTAAAAGCAAACAAACTCATCATTTTTCCACTTTCATGCCAGGGACAGAACATAACGGAAGAAAAGAAATAATAATTATAGACAGACCTGATTCCTGCATTTCTGTTTCCACCATCTGCTCCTAGTCTTTCGGCGCTGTCGATCCCAAACTTGGATGATATCTTATCCTCTGGTTTGTTTTCCTTTTCTGAGTCCAGTATTAGTTTGTCCAGATTCAAGGAAGCAAGGTATGGTCCTATGCAAAATAAATAGCATCAGTTATGCGAACATGCTCAATATCAAAATGGTCAAAGTGACTACCTCCTTTTACCAGTAATAGTTGATTCATTGCATCAACTCAGTCAAAAACGGTCAGGATTTATTATCAGCCATTTGACACATTAGTTTTGATCTGTAATTTGTCATCAACGATGGCCAGAACTACTGTTGCATACATCATGCCACAGTTTTTCAAAAGTTGGATAGGACTTTCTAATGGATAAATCGTTATCCAATGAAGAAGTATTATGAAAAACCAATAATTATGCTATCACCTGGATATTGATTTATCCAGTGGATAGTGCTCTTTACCTTTGAACAACTGGGGCCAGGAAGTTGGAATACAACTTTCTGGAGACCCACTATCATGCAATCCTTATCCTTTAACTCACCCAAATGATGTTTAAAAGCTTGAGCATAGAGTTTAAGCTTTGCTCCATCAGGTGAACCACCTAAAATACATGAAAACACAAAGTTAGTTTACTTACATGTACATTTAGTTAGACTTCAGTTGACTCTCTTGTCCTTCTGTGAGATGGACACCTTGCCCAAATGTACACAGAGAGTTGGTCTGTACCATTCTACAATCATTTCCAGCACTGCCCATCTTTGAAAGTGTTTACTGTATTACTGTTGCATAACTTTTCTGGATTTTTAATACACACAACAACAACAACAAAATTAAAAATTACTTTGATTGGTGAACCACTCATCGACATGTTCTTTTACAAGTTTCAATGACTTTTGCCCAATTCGCAGAATCCCATCTCTGAGCACCTTAGTGATGGCAACATGCTGTCCAAGTCGACAAGTCTACAAAACAAACAAGACAAGACAGAAAGGACAGTTTTGTTACAGTCAAACCTCATTAATACGGACACTGAGGGGGCCACAGAAAGTGTTTGTGTTAACGGGGTCTCCATTTTAACCCTTTAAGTCCCAATGGTGACCGACATCAATTTTCTCCTAATGATACCAATACATTGTCAAGAGATTAGGTTATGAGAATTAATAAAATGATCACCAAAAAGAAAATGATTTGATCTTTCATAAAATGATTTGATCTTTCATCAAATTTTCTGAACACATTCTTTAAGGAAATGTATAGAGATCAGTTGGGAGAATTCGTTTCTGGATATTGAGGCTTAAAGGGTTAAGCAGGTTGAATAAATGGACAAAATGTGAAGGCTTTCTTTCCCCAGGGACAAGGCAAACTGTCTGTAATAATGAGGTGTCCGTATTAAGCGGGTGTCCATAAAGCAGCGATTGACTGCACTACAAAACACTTGACTACAAGGAGAGGTTTCTTTAGCCAACACCAATGCTGGCAGATAAACTGGAAATGAACAGAATTTTAATCTTGTTTGCCAGCACAATGTTTGAAAAACACTTGTGCTGACCAAACAGTATACAAAAAATTAAAATTATTTTCACTCATCCATACCTCATAAACTGCACTGAACTCTTTGAAGAACATCTTTACATTATTCAACACCAAATCATTTTCTGGAGCGACAACAATGTATGCCACATCACGCTGACACGAGTAAGGTTCAAGCAACAGCTTCTCCTGTGATAAAAAGAAACAACAATCAGTGTATCATTAACAATAATAGGAAATGCACAATGTTTTCAACACAACAGAGTCCTATAACATTTTTTTAAGAATGTATAGTAGATAGGCCGCCTACGAAAAAAGCCAACTTTTCGTGTGGCCACCACTGGTTTCCCCCAGACTGCAAAAATTCCATACTGATGACTATCACTACCCAGATCTGTCTAGTGCTTCTGATTAATTAGCTGACGCAAATTCCCATGCAGCATGACTAATCAGAAGCACTACCCAGATCTAGGTAGAGATGCATCATAAGTTCAGAATTTCTGTGCTTGTTTCTCAGACATCATTTTGCAGGTAGTCTAGCTGTTGGCATCACAAAATGTCAGCTGTTTTTCAGGCTGATAGCAAAGTTGCCTGATCAAATTTACCACATTTAATTGCTACTTCCTGTAAATTTAATTCTTAGTTACCCAAAATTGCAGAGCAATTGGAGACAGTGACATCCAATCCCCACTGTATCCCACTGTCACAGAAGGAATAGGCTGTGAACGTGGCATTTCCTCATTACCTGAGGGGTAAAGAACAAGGTATAATTATTATAGAATCAAAGTAATGTGAAAATGGGAAGGGTAGGTAAGTGTAGAATCCAATATACTAGAGTTGAGCCAAGTACAGTAGGTGAAAGAAAAGTAGTGGACAGCGAAGTAAGGGAAGGAGGGCCATGCAGGAACGAAAGAGTTTCTCACACACAACTGGGTATCTGGATAATAGTGTGCGGGGGGCCTAGCCGCGATGTTGGCTGTAAGATAACAGTTTCCTTGTTGCTGTTTGCCATTGCCTGGCCTAATCCCCACCCATCCCTCAAGCTGGGTATAGTTTTAGTGATTCCCTCTTGAGGACATTAAAGTGTCTCCCTCATTGTGAGCCCTTGTTCCCCAGGAGTTTTCATTGCAGTAGTTAGTTGTTCAGTTTTTACCGTTTGTTTTGTCATGGCATGCAATCTAGGGAACGTTTTCACTGTTGTACTTGTCTATTGTGACGTTTTGTTGTAATAAAGGTTAGGCTGCGTGGTTTGGCTTGACTTGGCTGCTAGTTGTGTGTGAGAACTTTATACAGTCAACTCTTGCCTTGCTGACACCCCACTATAATGGACACCTCGATGAAATGAACAGAAGCTAAATCCCCAGCATAAACAAATTACAGACATTTGACTGAAATAAACTACTACTATTATGGACTCTCACTAACGAGGACACTACCTGTAAGTCCCTACAGTGTCTGCAATAAAGGCAATTGACTGTATACTGCCCTAATTTTCAGTGTTAAAACTGACCTTTAGTTGCCAGATGATGAAGTTGTTTCCAAGACAAGGGTCCTTGTACAACTGTTCCATGAGGCTGCTCCCATGTTTTTCTGCTTGTTGATTTTTGAAGGGCATCTTGCATGAGCTGACGAAGACAGTTTAGAGCACTGACTGCTGCAGGTGGGGGAATGTTCTTCAGATAGCCACTCTCTGCTGAGCCTTCGAAAAAAAATCTTGTCAGTAATGAACAAGTGCTATAACAAAGATGGCATAAAAATCATGTCAAGAATGAAATATTTCCTCATCATGACAAAATAATTAAAGGAACAGGTCACCAAAGATAAAGATAATGCTTGATTGGTACATAACTTTTTCTCATTAGAACTTTACAAAATGAGTGGAGAACACTAAGAAAAAAATTAATGCATATGCATATTGATCTAAGGTTAAATTAATATAAAACATACTATTACTTTTACAAGAAAGCTTTGCCACTGCTCTTTGAAGAAAAATAATACACATTTCAGCATTTTGAAAAATCATGAAGGAGGTCATCCTCAGGAACCCAGGTGCATCTAATAAAAATGTTTCACCGGGATGGCAAATTTAACAGCAAAGATGTTGTACAGTTTACCAAAAGAATGGGAAAGCCCCTAATCACTCAACAGACCAGTTCCAGACTCAAGGAGGTATTTGAGTTCCCTTCTTATCATTAGCGACCAGTCAGAAGCGGGGAATGCTTTTGAACTAGAACTCATTTGGTATGAGTCAGTGCCTTAAGGAGCTCTCCCATATTGCCTGTTGGCTGTAATGAGGTCACCACTAATTATTTCATTGTGCTTAGCTAATTCTGGCTCTCCAAATAAGTGGATAACTCTAAGTTGGAAGCTTTATACAAGTCAAAATTCTGCTGTAGTTTTTTTTAACTTCTCAATGTCTGGACAATGGAAGGAACACTTCCTTTCAAGTTTGAAATATTACTCTATAGGAGAGTTTAACAAATAATATGTTATCCTCATGTGATCACCGTTGCTAAGACTACATAATAAATCGCACCAAAAAACTTTTAAAGTGAAATGGTTTGGTATTATGTCATTGATGTTTGTATAATAAACAGGACATTACATGTTTGCTTGGAGATACATAATTTCCCTTCTGGTGTTGAAAAAAAAAATTTCACTAGTTTCAGTATTTTCATTAAGACTTCTAGTAGCAGGAGAAAGGTGCAACATTACAGGAGAATATTTTCAAGGAGTCCCCCTGTCTGAAAAAAATTTGTCATAGGCTACCGAACGTTAGCTGGAGAATTCTGCATAGTACGCGGAGAATTCTCCTGTCTCCGGCGCCTAGTGAACACCCTGAGTTTGCTACGCTCACTTGTGGAATAATAATCAACACTCAAAAGGAAATTTTGTATCTCCGCTTGGCTAGGTAATATCCTCTATTAATTATCACTATCAAATTCAACACATAGGGGAAACTTACCTTTATTTTGTGCTGCCATACCAGAAACATGCTTCACAATACCCTGGCTTTTATACATTAGTTGAAATTTCAGGTTTGAACAAGAAAATGGTGATGAACACTGACTCACAATCTCTTCCAGTAAGCTAAAAGGAATTTGCGATGGTAAAATAGTTGTTGTTGATCCTTGTCTTCTTACAGTAAGAGGTTTTTTACACTCTTGTGCTTTAACTTCGAGCTTTACAATTACATCCTTTTTGGCTGGTATTAAATTTACTGAAGGTGCTTCATAAATGTCATCTGGGAACAACCCTGTTCCAGCAGTGAATTTCATTCTCTCCAGTGGACCAAATCCACAAACACACCTCTCAAAGTCTTTGCTTTTTGTTATTATTCCCTTAGTTCTTGAACCTTCTGAGGACTTGCAACACGAACACAGGCTCACATTGTCATAACTCTTGTCACTAAAGTAGTTCAACCAAGAGTCAGATAAAGTCAGAACCCTTGATAAAGAATTTACTTCTGGAAGAGGAGTTTGAAATAAGGGTTTCACAACAAAGGTGCTTCCTTGAAAAGCTTTTGGAAATTGTGAGGGCATGGAGAACGACGACACTGAAGAAGCTGGAGAAGCAGGTGACATTGCTGCAGAAGTTAAGTGCTTGACGTCACTGCTTACACTTGGAGGATGGTTATATGTGTACCCCACTGCCGGAGAAGGAGTGGCAACAGCAACATCACCATTAAGAGCATCAGCACTACTGAAAAAAAGAAAAGCGAACACATTAGATAGCTGTCACTGTTAGTGTTAATATTGGTAATATTGACTGAATAACTTGGAGGAGAACAAAACTTGAAACATCTGCAAGACCTACTGACCTCTCTACTTTAGTAACTGACAAGGTCCAAGATTTCTGTGCGGTCTGCTTTAAATGAGACAAAACAAAAGGTTAAGACTCTGAAATGAAAATAACATCTCAAAAGAAATAATTGAACAGAAAGCCTCATTGCAACCTCCCACATCAGTCTCTGTGGTATTTCCAGTAGTTCAACCTACTGTTTTAAATAAAGCCAGGTCTGTACTATTATAGCAAAGCCTTGAAAGCTACAACTCTTATTAAATAAGTACCGTAAAATTCCGAAAATAAGCACCTCCAAGTATAAGCCCCTCCAAATATAAGCCCCCCAAACAGGTAACGCAAAAAACCCTCCGTTAAATCACCCCTCCGAATGTAAGCCCCCTGGGGGCTTGTACTTGGAAAATTGCCCTCAAATACAAAGTAAAACAAAGCAAAAATGGTAAATTTACTTCCAACTATAAGGCTAGCCCAATCGATTTTGAAACACAAATTTCCCTCCATAGATAAGCCCCTCCGAATATAAGCCCCGGGGCTTATTTTAGGAAGTTTATGGTATATGGTTACAGATAAAAAGTTCACGTCAACAGCATTTAGAATAACAAAACATAATAAATTCAGGAATGCTGACAACAGAAAAAATTACAAAAATTGTAAGCTCTGAAAGCAAATGGTTTTCTTTCCAGTTTAGACGGGGTTTTTTTGTTGTTGTTTTATGCACACAATAATACCAACAATAATAATAATAATGATGATGATTTGGGTGAAAACTATTATTAAGACAATCAAAAACCCAAGTATTAAACGATTGTGAGCTCCAAAAACAACCCTACCTGCCAACTAGGTGTATTCTGCATTATTGCTGAAGGAAGAGCCTTGTGACTGGGCAAAACTGTCACAGCTTCAAAGGAGAAGGAAACAGGGAAGTCTTGATATTTTGGGATATCAAAGACAGGACCGAGTTCCTAGAATATGAAAGAAAAATAAGATACTTAATGGACTTGCTTGAATAAAAAACGAAGGAGAAGGTGTCAGATCAGAAAATTAAAACAATGACGATGTTTAAAGGTCAGACCGTGCACAGACAGTGTAAATGGGCAGAAAAATTATAAAAGGGTGGAGTTTATAGCACACATTGACATGAAGAAAGACACGAGATAGAATTTCTTATAGCACAACGGTGCAACCATTAGAGCACAAAATTGCATGGCACTTTTGGGTATTCCGATTAACCATCCTGAGCAATCAGAGAAAAAGTAATACCCCCAGCCCCACCGACCTCCCACCATCATGTGGTGGATTAAGTTCTGTTTGCAGGAATGTGTCTTGTTATCTACAGGAACTAACTGAACAATCAGCTATACAAACCACTGGACTATGCTGCTTGTCTTGTTCCACATCCAATCCCGTAAAGCTCATCAAATGCTGTGACTCCGGAGACAGCATTGCACTGTGCACTGCGGTCTTGACACTCCCTGGACTAATGTAATCATTACCAACAGGGCAAGGGGGAGAATGCGACACTGTCTCTAGAGAGGGAGGAGTAGGAAACATTCGTGCCAAATCCTGTTGGGCTACCACACCAGAATTCATAATAGTGTGGTGAGTGTTGATGTTTGTGATTGAATCAAAGGTATTAATCTGATGACAAGCAAATTCCATCTTCATAGATTTGGATTGCCCCAACTCATCCTCTTCTTCATCACTGTCAAACAATTTATCAAGGTCATTTAGCGTCACTGCAAGATCTTGTTCTGTCATTAAATTTGATGACCGTGGCGCTGGTTCATGTTCATCATCAGAAGATGAGAAACTGGGATAAAATCCTTTCTCAGTCTTTTGCGGGTGTGGCTTTACTTCCTCCACCCCTTTAGCCAGCTTTTCCTTTTCCTCCTGTTGCTTTTTCCGGGAGCTTGGTCGTCGATTTTTCAAGCGCGAGGGAGGTTTACTGACTTCTGCTGGTGGAGGAACAGACGGACTATCAGCAGCTGCATTGCTGCTTCTCCGGCGGGGCTTATTTGAAGGAGGCCTTCCCTGTGTCGGTGATTTCATGGTTGGCTGTATCATTTCAATATCAGGATCCTCAGGCTGTGGAGTAAAAGGATCAGAAAGAGGCGTGGTTGCAGGTGATGGTTGAGAACTATTCCTACGTCCCTTGGGCCGTCCTGTACCAGTACTATCTGAACGAGATCTTCCAGATGATGATTCCCGTCTTCTCTTCGCAGGTGAAAACACAGCCTCCAAACCAGCATCTGTAGAGGGTCTTTTACCACTATCACAATTTTGAAAATAAGAATGGTTATTTTCTATTGGCTGAGTAAAATGACAGAAATGGAGTATGTGTCAAAAATGGAGTATCTCTAAAGGCCGATTTAGACGGCACGATATTTGCTTACGACTATCGTGAGCGACTAGCATGCGTCACCACTTGATGACAGATCGTGTCGTAATGTAAATTGTGCACATGTGGATAGTCGAAAGTAATGACGTATGCTAGTCACGCACGATAGTCGTAAGCAAAAATCGTACCGTCTCAATCGGCCTTAACTGACCTTCCCAAATACCCCAAGACTTCAGTATTTTTGTATGCAGTGCATTTAAGTGTAACTCTTTGCTACTTTTTACAGTGTAGTTAACTCAGCAAAATGTCAGTTGACTCTTGGATAAGACAAGAAAGGTGTTCTCATTGTCCTCAAGTCCAGAATTCATTCACTATTGGCCAAGTTAGGGACTTGTATTCTAAACCACATCCTCTTAAAGAAGGCAAGTTTTGCCCACAGGTCTTGGATTATTTCCCTACTTAAAGTAGCTGCCAAAACGTGGACACATTCTGATTCTGAAGGAACCATTAGAAACTCAACCTCCCAAGTTTTCTCTCTAAAAGGATCCTAACAAATATTTAAGGGAGGAGTCCATTTCAGCTTAAGGGGAGGTAAGGGGAACACAAACAGTACATTAATTGAAGATCCAAATGGAGAGTTACAAGATCAACTTACCTTTCCCACAGAGACATTGGTGCATCCAGAGGAGAAGGTGAGAAAACCTCATCTGTGATCACTTGATCACCAAGCCCACCAAGTGGTCTGCAGTCAAGAGGGTCAGAGGGTAGCACAGGGACACTAAAAACACTCTCCACAGGCAGGACATAACAACTTTGATCATCATCATCCTTTTTATCAGAGTCTATATTGCTCACAAAATTAACTGAACATGATTCTTCAGATTTGACCAGCATTTCCGAAACTTTCTCACAAGTTGATGATGGTAACCTTGAAGAGTTCACTCTCAACAGTGAGGAAGAATGCTGTGATGGTTTAGCATTGGTTTTTGTATCCAATGTACTGCTCTTGTGTGCAAGTGCGCAAGTTGTATTTTGTGCCGGCGTGGCCTGTCCCTGCAAAGAATACTTCTTTGCATTATGATGAGCAAGAGCAACATCAGAATGCCGCATTTGAGTGACACTTGTCAGGGAATTTGCAGTAGGCAAACCCTTTGTCATAGCTCCCACGTGACTTTTCACAGCTTCTGGTCTGTCCTTACTGATGCTTGGTCGATGGTGAAATGGCACCAGAGGCTTTTTCTTCTCTTTCTTTAACTTTGCAGTGCTCTGAGTTTGCTGTGATATCTGGTGTTGTTGTTGAGGTGAAGGTATCGGATAACTCGGCGACGGTATTGGCCTTGTTATACCAAATGATGGACGCACTTGCGTTGGAGCCTTGGGCCTATCAGGAATCAAGAAAAGAAAGGAAATCATTTTCTATTACACCATCAACTTAACGTATCCTTTAACTGACTCCTAATGTTTATGATTAATGTAGAACTAAATGTTTATCAGTTCTTTCTTTCTGACACAACTTAGGGCTAAAAAAGACTTGAATTCCAGCTTGTCCTTGGGCACCCAGCTCTTACATTTTGCTTGCCTTAGCTAATGATTTTGCTAGAGGATGACTTCCCTGAACCTTTGTCTATTGGGCAAGTAAAGCTTTAAAAGTTACCTATCCCATACTTCCAGATGGAACTTTTTTGAGCCCTGCTACTTTGCTGAAAATACTCTGGAACCAATTTTAAGTCAGCCTTACCTGCTGATATTACTACTTGATGTACAGGAACACGAGGTGCGCTTAAATGGCTCCTCAAAATCCCACTGGCCTACTGATGTCGCATCATTTAAACTCTCAGTCTTTATAAATGATGTAGTTAACCTCGATATTGAGTTCTGCGAGGTGCTTTTACTGCAAAAAAAAAAAAATCAAAGCTAGTTTTCATAAAGACAAATGAAAAAGGCTCTCAGTTTAGGACCTCAATAACAAACTACAGTTAAACAATAATAACAAACATTAAATTAAAATTCCCTCACACCTGCACAGCACAATTTAAAACAACTCTACAATAAACCAATCCCCCTCCACTCCCCGCCGCCACCCCCTCCAAAAAAAGGAATAATTATGCAATAGTCTAAGTAAAGGTGTAATACACACTTCTACAGAAGAGAAATGACTGGTATGTTCTCATTTACAGATTTCATCCAAGAAGACTCCAAAATAATCCAAACTGAAAAAAATTCTGGCTCGACTAGTAATGGGATTCAAACCTTCGACCTTTGCATCTGGAGCACTGCAATGGTAACGCAAAAGTCAGGGTGCGAATCCAAAACAAACTTGAATCTTTTCAGGCTTCTTTTAGCAGCTGCAACAGTTGTGTTTATAACTGTGATGATCTTCTTCACATATAACATGTTACTTACCTCACTGCAGGTTTGGTAATAGTGATCTCCTGCCAAACTTCTTGCACCAATGAGTGTGTCAACTTCTTCTTGTCAGTGACAGTAGGCAATGTAACCTTGGGTGCTGGTGGCAAATTTGCTGAACCTGTAACAACATCTGTAGTGTTGGAATCAATAGGTGATGCTGGTGGGGTTAGTGATGTTGGACCAGAGGTGGTCGCTGAATCTGTTCTGGGCAATATAGGCCCTTCTGCAGATGGTTAAAGGTCACAGGTTAAAAAGTTAGAACACTAGAATTAGGAAGAGGAAAGTAGTTAAAAGTACTAAAAAAGTAACTGTGAAGGTTACATGTTATACAATACAAAATTCATGAACTATTACTTGCGTGGCAGATTAATGAATTGTGTGGAAGATTAATGAATCAAGTTTTGTTGAGTTTTGATACAACACAAAATCCACAAAATCCAGAAGAAAATCAGTTATTGAACCCTTCAAGCCCCAATATCCACAAAAAAATTCTCTACACAGATATCTATACATTCCTTGAAGAATTATGTTGAAAGAATTTGTTTAAAGATCAAAGCATTTTCCTTTATGGTGATCATTTTATTAATTCTCATAACCTACTCTTGATTATGTAAAGATATTGTTAAGAGAAAATTGATATTGGTCACTCTTGGGACTTAAGGGGTTAAAGGAGCTGTGCCATGGCAACCTAGTTTATTTTTGTTAGTATTACTTACCAGTATTAATAACCAAAGGTTACGGAGTGCGGGCGACAACAATTGAAGGTCAAAACGATTTAGCTCCATTGATGTGTTTACGTACATGTAAGTTTCATGTGACAGATAGTCAAAACACGCTTGATCAGATTACGAGTGATCATATTGCATTCTGTGCATTCCATTCATTCTTAAAGGAGATCCAAACAAATGCCCGCTACATCATACATGCGGCACATGCGTAATAACAACCTTGAGATTAGGATTGCGGGCTCCTATTGCCACCCCCAATAACTCAGACACCCTTATAGCGTGCGAGCAAGCTCTCCTATTTGGGTGAGTGAGGCGAGTCTCGCGAGAGCGAGCGGCGAAGCCGCGAGGGGCCGAGGAAAGGAGTTCCTCAGCCCCTCGCTTGTGCGTTCTCGTGAGGCTCACTTCGCTGGCCCAGATAGGAGAGCTTGCTCACAGGCTAACACCCTTAATAACAAGTTATGGCAAATAATGCTAGCAATCAGATTAGAGATTACTTGTCATTAACCCTTTCACTCCTAGACCACATTATGAGGAGATTATTAGTTACTCTAACCTTTACATCTGTGGATGGAATCCTATGATATTAATTTGCCATTTAAATGAAACCTTTTTGACATGGCAGCACATTTTTTTCTTAGGATTTTTCAAAATGAATATTAAATTTTATCTTTTTGGTGGTTTTTTCCTTGGGGCCACTATAAACTATAAGAAATGAAAGAGATAAAGGGATTAACAATGGTAAGTCAAACTAAACTCACCTCCTGTTCTTTCATTCTCTGTGCATGGTACCACAACATAAGTGGATGGATACCACATCTGTGTCTCTCCTACAACAACCATAACTGCTGCAGGGACCCCCTTATCAAAACACTGGTTTGTCATCTCACTCCAATCATTACTGAAGTCAATGGGATAAAATTTCTTCCATTCCTCAATAAGTTTTACTGAAACTGCATCATCCAAGTGGCTTGTTTGACCAGTGAGAAATCCAGACAGTCCATAAGGACCTAACAATACTGAAAGTCATTGCCAAAGTCAAAATTTAAGCAAATCCCAAATTTCATTTAGCTAAAAGGCTGAAATTAAATAAATGGTACAAAAGGAAAGTCCTTCTAACGAGCCTCAAGACAACAATAATTCTCTTTTAAAGGCCTCCATTAATGAATTAATTAATTTATTTATTAATAAAATATTAATTAATTAATGTAATTAATTAATTTATTTATTTATTTATTATTGCCCTAAGAGTTATCAGCAACAAATTTTTCCTTGTAACATCAATGCTTTCAATCACAGACATGATCCCACAAGATGAATTTGCTATATTGTTATGTTATCAACTTCTCCCTACTACTTCTGTAGGAAATGACTGGGCCAGGGGGGCAACAAATGGGAATTCAAATTTTCATTTTCAGGGGTCAGAGGGTGAAACAACCACCCCTCTTGGGTATCCTAATATTATTATTTGCATTTATCTCGTGTATACATGCTTCAACAAGGTAACTTGTAAGCCAAGCAGTGCAGCACAGAGCAGAGTATAAATCAGCGACTAAAGCAGCTCAGATTTTACCAGATTGTATTACCTGGAAGTCCTTCTTGCTTGGTTGCAGCAACAGCTACATCTTGTAGTCTAAGATGACGTACTTGTTGCTGCTGCTGGATTTCAACAGCAGTACAAACAGAACTCTCGCCATGGACAAAGAAGGAAAATGAAAAAGATAACTGACTGCTGGAGAGGGAAAAAAACATTGTTAAGTCACTACACCTACACATGTATCACATCACAGCATGAGAAGGGGTCACTGACATTGCTATCTGCCTTAGAAAAGGAATTTTATTACTGCAACAGTATGCCATTTACAGGCATTCTTACACCTCATCTGGCTTGTTTTACGGACAACTTATGCCCAAACAGAAAGTTAATAATGAAGATAAAACAGATGATCACCAAAAATAAAAAGTAATTTTTTAAACCTTATTAGTACTAAAGAAATTGTAGTTGGGACTGCTCTTCTTGTGTTATAAACCCCAAATTACCTCACATTTAATAGAGAGGTTAGAAATATTCTTTCACAGAATAGAACAAATCATACAGTTAAGCTAGAGCAAAAGAAGTTATAGCGAGGTGGAAAAGGCCTGAAATTTTTCAAAAAAGGATCACCTCACCTGAAATTTTCCACTGAACTGCTTTCACATGGCTTTGTAAACCACTTGCCCAGGCGAACGAACTTTCTTGACAGCAAACACCTAAAAAGTTTTCACACATTGAGCTGTACTTATTTCACTAACACAATTTCTCTTCAGAATACAGGTTACTTTTGAAGCATCAAACAAATAACTCGAAGGCTCAAGGCTGCTGAACTTTTTCTCCGCAATTGACAATGGTAACCAGCCTTGTGTTTTTCAATGTACTCTGTGGTAATTTACTTAAAATTTTAGCAGCAAAAATGAATTGTATACTACTGTTTCGTGGCAGATTATGAAACATTTACCTTTCTAATAAGTTATGTAAGGCTTTGAATAGCAGAGATCTTGGCTCATGTGGCAAGCCATCTTCCCAGCACCCATGGCATGATTCTGTAAAAAAAAAAAAAAACACTTAAAATGTTAGTCTTGCCTCTCGTAGAGAGGGGAAAGGAAAAGAAATCCGCAACCACTTCTCCATGCGACGAACCTCTTGTTGTTGTGTGGTTGATTTGCATACATGGGCGGCACAGACCCTACGGGAGTTTGTTGGACTTTGAATTTTATGAGAGGATGTAGGGAAATAAACAAAATATGTTCTAACTTAGAACTATTTGTAAAAAGAAAAAAAAAACAGAAAAAGAAATGACAGACCGGTTTGTGTTGTGTGTTTTACTGTCTGTTTGCCTCTAGAGCCATTTGGAAGCTGCTCTATCAAGTTTTAACAGGAAGAAAGTACTGTCCGATAGCCCGGGGCTAGTGGATTTTGCTATCAGGTTAGTGAATTCTGTTTTTAACTTGCCCGACGGGCAAGTGATGTTTTATGAGGAATTTGAATAACAAAAGAACAAAAAGCTTTTGGGGCTAGTTGAAATGACGTCTGGGCTATTAAATGCTAGCTTCAGCTTGCCTGAAGGGCAAGCTGTAAAAGTGATTTTCTTTGCACCCTGTTTAGATTTTGAGTTTCTCAATGTTAGTACAACTCAAAATCATTAAACGCATTAAAACAGCTTCCAAATGGCTTGAGAAGCAAACAGACAGTAAAACACGTAACACAAGGAAAGTCATTTTTATTTTATTGTTTTCAAAAAATGGAAGTTAGTACATCTTTTGTTTATTTTCATTCCCTCCCTAATAAAAATCAAAGTCCAATGAACTTCCATACAGTCTGGGCCACCTTTGGTATAAGTAAAAAATTCACCTTTCAGTTCTCCAGAAACAATCCCTTGAAGATTAGGGTCATCACCAAACCAGAACACCCACAACTCTTTTGCACTGCTGATACTGTTAGGATCACTGCTTGCCTGACAACCTGTCGAAGGACTTCTTCGCCATGCGCACAAGATGTCATGACCAAGGGCCAATGAAAATGACTTCAGTACAGGGTCTTCTTCAAAGGTGGCTCTGCATGCAACATTGTATATGTACTTCCGCCACTTCAGGCCACATAAATCAGTCTGTCAGTAAAAAAAATGCTGTTTCAGCACACGGAATCTGTCAAACTGTATTGACAACTTTTACAGCTGCATCATATTATGGAGGCCCTGTTAGTGTGAGTTAAATACCAACAGGGACATGGCCATACTCCTCAAAATGTGAAATGACCGTATCTGAAATTCAGACTAGGAAGAAATGTACCTGCCTCTAACCCTAACCCTAACCCTAACCCCACCCCCCCCTCCCCGACCAAAGAGGGCCTCATTAACCAACAAAAGTCAAAACAATTCAGTTTTAAGAGCAAAAAGAGTTTGTGTAGCTTGAAATGTTTTGACAAACTCTTGCAGTCACGTGATGACACCTCATGGGTCTCATAATCATCTATCCAGGCCTGACAGTGTTTCAAAGTACCATACATTCTGCAGGTGGTAGACCTCAACCCCTAACACTGTTTGATTTTGGATTGATTGGGTCCTAGATGAAAATTATTGTTTATTTTATTTTATTTATTTTACTGTTTTTTTTCATTTGACACACCTTCATACAAAATTATTGATAAGAGTTCTTATACTTTAAAATATTTGCTTATTAATATCTACCAAACAGAGTACCCCTTATAGTCAAAGAACGTTTTTACACTTCAACTCAAATAATGTTCTCTCAAAACTCTATCACGAATACAGACAGTTTCTTCTAATAATACATACATTTTATTATTAAATCACAACCCATACTAAGCTTACTTTGATAAATACTAAAAATAGTTTTTAAACTGTGGTTTTAATGCTTATCAGATCAGATTTAAGTAGAAAAAGCATTTTTGAGGCCAAGAAACAAAACATAATATAACATATAACTAGGTTAACAACAAGTATAATATGTAGAGACAAGTCGATATGAAAACACACTGCATACAAAAAAGATTACCCAAAATAATAGTCGAGAAAGATTGAAATTTGGAAAAATGTAAGTGAAATAAAGGTAACAACATTTACACGGTGGAAATATAATAATCATCTCAGCAATCACAATGGAACATGCTGCAGACAAATTTTTTTTCAACGTCTGGCCCACTACAATGTAGCCAATATTATTGTCATCATGAAATTTGTGAACATATTCATTCTGTAAGTGAATGAGATTGTTATTCAATAATTTATGTTATCACTAAATTATAAATATTACACAATTTATCATAAAACATGTATTCAGGCATGTTTGCTCTCCAACCACTTTGTATATTCAACAAAGATAATCTAATTGTGCATATTTTTGTGACTGCTTGATCTATTACCCTGACCAGTACTAAATCAATATCCAATTCATGCACCTAGGAAGGTGTGACAAGATTTTTAAAATATCAGTGATAAATTCAATGAACAAAGAAAAATCCAATTTAATGCATACCCTAGTACTGTAGTAAGATAAGTAAAATAATAAGCCAAAACCAAACCAAGCTACATGTACATAAAAAAATAAATAGGAAGGAAGTGGATGTACAACAAAAACATCTGGGAAATATAATTAATGTTTTAACCCCCCAAACACGCACAATATAGTTATAACTGGCAGTTAATGACAGCTGAGAAGATGGATAGTAATGGAGGGGGTATTACTTTAGCCACACAAGGGTGTTTAAGTATGTGTCCTTTTTTAAAATTCATGTTAAGCTTTAGGGTAATTATACTTGATATGACCATACACAACGACATTCACATTCAGTGTTAGTTTAACAAGACCTCATACATTGAACATGCTTAAACAATTATCATCACTACAATAAAATAATCTCCTTTAGCCCCAACTGTTATGTACAAATTCCGCGGACTGATCTCATATACCTGTTAACGAATTGGTTGAGTAAATTTGATAAAAGATCAATGTATTTCCCCTTAGGTGATCATGTTATTTATTCTTAAAACCTTTTCTCTTGGTTATTTATCGCTTTTACTAGGAGAAGAGTGATGTTGGTCACCTTGGGACTTAAAGGGTTGAAGATAATGTAGTGGCTTCAGAAGTTATATTAGGTATTAAGGATAACTCTCCAGAGGTACTGACTGAATAAAAGCAGGTATGCATACTATTCACAACATGCTCCATTATAGCACAAGTCAAGCAAAATGTTTTCTCTTTGGTTTTGACGTTTTATTGCGATTTTTTTAAGACGTCACTTAGGTCTCAATATCATCTTATGGCTTAGCACAGGTCATGTGAATAATGCCTGATATTTCCCAGAAGCTCAGTGTTACTGAACATTACGCCAGAAAATTGACCAAATTCATTTCGTAAAAAAACAGTACTGAAACAAATGGTACAAGTAACAAGGCAGAATTACCACTAAAGACGTTACATTTGCATGATCACACTGTAGGATCTTTTGTCCTCAAACAGAAAAGTAAGAAGAGGTAGAATGTTGGTTTCCATTTTCCCACAGTATTACTCTGGGAAAATGAAAACTTTAATGTTATAGGACGTGATCACAGAGATACAACACGATATGAACAAGATAGATGATTTACTGATGAACTCTAAAACAAAAAAAGCAGCAAACAGACTTGCTGACCAAATGTCAAAGCCAATTAAAGGCCAAGAAAGAACCATATTTCATCAGTCTTGCATTGTGAAGTCAAGGCACATTGAGAGCAAATATTAAAAAATAAACATTACTGTAAACAGTTTACCCTACAAAAATAACAATTCACCAATAAAGAAAACCAAATGAAGTTATCCATAGCATTTTCAATTTCTTTTTGAAGTCTGTGTTTAATTAAAGAGTCAGTTCCCTACTCATTTTATTTTTATTGACACAATAAAATGCACCTGCTTCATGACCAGACAAAAATCATTTGCAAATGTGAAGTTTGGGTTTTCTTTAAGAAAATTGGCTGTGTTAAATGTTAAATAATTATAGAAACATCAAAATTTATTGGGCAACATGATGAGATAGAAGCAATAAAAGACACAAAAGCTTGCTAAATGCTACTTGAAAAGTTTAAATTTACAATTTCATCCACTAACAAAACAAACTTCAATTGCAATTTTGCTTCTAGCCTGGAGCTATAACTAAATTCCCCACAGCACAAAATCCCGCCCATAAATAAGCAATCAACCTCTTTTCAATTTTTAACACAAATAAGTAGAGTTCAACCCCACTAACTTGAACTTTGAAAGAAAATGAAAAAAAATTTGAGTTAGCGAGGGTTTAAATTATCGGGGTCAATTTCAATTTTTGCACGTTAAAAATTATCGATAGTTACTGATTTTTCAGCACTTCAGTGTATGGTGCAGTGCAAATTTAACATACTTTAAAATTCCGAAAATAAGCCCATCCATGTACATTGTATAAGCCCCTCCAAATATAAGCCCCCCAAACTGGTAAAGCAAAAAACCCTCTGTTAAATCGCCCCTCCAAATATAAGCCCCAATGAGGGCTTGCACTTGGAAAATGGCCCTCAATACAAAGTAAAACAAAGCAAAAACGGTAAATTTACTTCCAATATAAGGCTAGCCCAATCGATTTTGAAATACAAACTTCCCTGCGTAGATAAGCCCCTCCGAATATAAGCCCCTCAAAAAGGGCCTTTGACAAATATAAGCCCTGGGAATATTTTCAGAATTTTACGGTATTTCATTGGAAACAGTAACACGATCAGGCATTTTTTTATGATAAAATGTGATCTGTTCATTGCACCAATTAAAATCAAACTGCTTTAGTGCTGACCAGTGCAAGTTGTAGTGTTTTTACCCTTGTACAAGAGCTAATAGGATGCAATCAAGTAGAGTCGCAAGAACTACATGTAGAATTCAAGGTATCAGGGCAAATTTCAGTGAATTTTTTATCAAGGGAAAAGAATATTAGTTTTAGTTAGCACGAAATTCAAGTTACCTGAGATTGAGTTATCGGGGTTCTACTATATGTACACTAAAGAACAGCACAATGTCCAGAGTGTACACCATGTACATGTAACAGACATTCCACCCCCCAAAGCCTACCATTGCAAAAGTTAGTATAGTTCCTTAACTTGTCTGATACTTTACACAGAATGTTATGTTGTACCAAAGGCAATATGGGGGCATTTCACCCTGTTTAATTAATCCTTGATCTCTATCTTACATTGTCCCTGCTTTGTCATCTGCAGTAACTACAGTCTACCAAACAAAAATTGTATTTTCTGTGACCTTGAAGGAACGGCAATTACATTCCATGACTTTCCAGGCTTTGAAAATGAAACTCTTAAATTCCATGACTTCCTAGGTTTTTCATGACCTGTGCGAAGCCTGTGAGACTCTCTATGGGTAATTTCCAATGGAATTGAAGTCACTACCATTGCTATGGAGGAAACAATGATCTCAAAAAATGGCCATCGCATTGCCATTCCGATCAAGTTTTACATTGTTAGTTGTGCCATGAAGGCAAAGAAATCTGCCAAAAAGTGTACTACACATTCAGAGTTTCAACCTTTTACTTTTTTATTTTCTCGTTTGCCAGCATCGAGTTCGCTAGTAGCATTTTGCGCTCAACAATTCTGAATGCATGACAATTTCATTGAGAACTGATGATTCGATGGGAAATGCAGGTCAAAAAAAAGTCTGCAGGTTCCCACAGAGAAGCTCCATTTTCATGGCTAAAACTCTTACCCTGGTTGGCCAAGTGCTGGAACACACCTGTCAGGATCCCCCAAATTAAAAGTTTTCCAGAGGAGGCTCTGGAATCTGTCACTACTTCCACATGTGGCTACATAGCATGAAATACATGTATGTTCTGATTTTGCCACCAATCTATGTTAGCCTGCTAGCAAGCTCTCCGGGGTGCTGTGGTGGAGAGGGAAAAGGGACGTAGTGTCCCAGAGAGCTTGCTTGCAGGCTATCACATGTTTTTTCACCTTCTACTTTAAACTTCCTGGAGAACCCTGATTAAATAAACACAACAATAATTTACATGTATAAAAAAGACAAAGACTTCTTCAGATGAGAGTGACTTGACAACCTTACTAATACAGACCAAACACAATACCCCCCAAAAAAGGAAATATTCCAACAAGAAACCTACTCAAAGAATAAACAAAACATTTGTTTCCAAACTATATTTTCACATCAACCTGAGCCAATTAAAAATAAGAGATGAATAACAAATTCTCAGTAAAATACAGGAAGTGGTTGACATATTTACCAGGCTACATTACAGGTATTTTTAGCAAAATGTTAAACAGCCGACAAACATCTATACGATAAAAACATTTACAATGGCATATATTTATGCATAATTAGTAGCTATTTCCAGAAATGAGGCAATTCACATGATGAAACATGACTTAGGACTGACATCTTTGTTATGTTTCTGCACACATCAATAAACATTGGTGAAAAACTGGATATAACATTACAGCTAAGCTCTCTTTAAGTAGAGATCCATACAAAATTTATACTTTTAACATCAATGCTTTACCATACATGACATAAAGAGAATGAAAGATTTGACCACTTAATGTCTTTAGATAAGCACATTCTACTAACTAAATGACATATAAACAGCCAAGGAGACAAGAAATTAACATTTCAACACTGTGTATAAAAGGGTGAAGGTTTAATTCCATTAACAGCATGACAGGATTTTAAGGTAATGTTAAGCTGATAATACCCAATGGTCTTCTGTAAATACACTGTATGCCAATCTACTGTCCTGTTTAGATAACCTTTTAGCAAAGCACACAATTTAATTTGTAAAAGAGAACACCACAAAGTCACTGACTCCTTACACTGTAATTACACACCACTCTGCAGCCTAGTTAAACTAAAACGTAAAAATAAGAGACAAGGATGGAACATCTAAACAGGAAGACAAGTTTGACAGCAATGCAACACCCACACACAACCGCACAATATCACAGGTATGTATCCAAGCCCAAGATTAATTGGCCTACTAAAGATATAACCTTGTGTCTAAGTCTTTAGATTTTGACAGACCAATTTCTGTAGTAGATAACAGCGATTACTGCATTGCCCAGTATGACAAAACAACTGAAAACTCAGGACTGAAAGTTCGTAAAAGCATTGTTAGAATGAGAATAAAAATAGACACTGCATTAATTTGAACAATGCAACAAGCACAACATCCTGGGGTCAACAACAATTTTTTTAAACTTATTCTGCTGTTTTCTAGCTTACTAGTCAAACACAATTGTATAGCACTATATGGATGGATGCTTTAATTAACCTTTCAACTCCTGGAGTCAATTATAAAGATATGTACTTGAAACTTGCAGAGTTTGTAGACAAATCCCATGGTGAGATTACTCAAAGGACACCTCTTTAGCAGTACCTTCATAAGGAAGGATAATTTTCAGCATATTAAACAATATAATTTCTCATTTTAATTTTAAATTTTAGAAATCTTGCAACTTAAAAAAGGGTTGTTAACAAAATCACTTAAATGTTTTGTTTTGTCTTCCAACAGAGTAAAAAATCTGGTCAAGCCTTGCCACTCTCACGATTGCCCAAGGCAAGTTCCGTGACATATAAATTCAGTGAATAAGACAGATGCATCATAGTTGGCCAGTGGCTTAAATGGATTTATTCTTGGACTTAAACTCTGACATGCACTGCATGAAATCAGATAAAAATAATCACACAATATAAAACGCTTTCATGGGATCTACCAAAAAATTTGTGTTCAATAGAATGAACTTTCTCTGCTTCAGCTTGTGAGTAGCTTTGTCAAGAAATTATTAAAAATTATACCCTATACATCGAGAACAACAATGATGTAGGAAAACTGAAAGACATTGAATTTCCCTCTGAAATATTTACAGTCCTAACAAGTCTGTTTGAGGAAGTTAAAACAAGTGAAACCCTCAAAAATCTCTTGATCATAAATCTGCCAGATTCTACATGACAAAAACACACTTATCATCACGTACAAAGATAAACCAATGTTATAAGAAATATTGCAACCTGTAAAAAAAGATATATTTTTGGGCAATAGTATTTTAAACATGTTTGTCTAGTGAATTAATTTCCTTACACCAGAAAATGAAATATTTTCTACCAAGTACACCTTTGGTATATGGTACATATAATATGGTGACAAATTTAAGAGATTATTTGACATGCAAGCTCGAACTAACATTAATACTCAAATACGTAATATATAACACTCCATGTCAGCCATGTTAGAAGCTTTTTTCTTTGTCCAAAAAAATACAATCACTTGATACAAGTTACTGTGATAATCATTAGAAAGGAATTAGAACAGGCCGCCTGAACACTCTTGAACAAATAAATTTCAGTCATAACCTTAACTCTTAAACAAAACCACGGGTTCAGGGGTTAGCCTTACAACTTACTATCCCTTGACAATTAGTTGGTGTCAACGACGTTGTTCATTGCACTTTGAAACTAACAACAGCCTTCGTGATGAACAAAGTTGCTTCAAAAATCTAATCCCTTCAGACACAATAAAAAGGGTAAAATTTCCGGCTACACTGTGCCTTTGTAGTTACACATAATTATCATTCTACAGTACACCTTGCATAAAAATTAATTAACACACCAGAGAAAAACCGTGACAAATGTTTCATCCTCGAATTAGGCGATGAACGAAAATAGTCGGATAATCAAATTGGAAGTGTCGTTGAGGTAGTTGCTTTGCTTACATGGTACATTTACTCAGGAGTAAACAAGCAAAGATCAATTCTTTCTCAATAAAAACCCAGTCATCTGATTAATTATTCAGAGTGTCGGTTTTGCTCGTTGAAGAGTTAGAGGGTTCCAAATTTGACACCGCGGACGGCAAAACGCAATCAACAAATATGTTACTGATGAAAATAGCCCAGTACACTGGTATTTTCTGGCATATTTTAACCTTGATGAAAAATAGATACTATGATACTTATCGCCACGGTATAGTAAAATCAATCTTCTGGCACAATTGCTATCCATGCGACGAAATTAAATACAATACTTAAAATCGGCCCTCTTACGGAAAAATATTGCCCGACGGCTAAGCTTTGCAGGTAAAATACATATAAGCATTGGATATTTCGGTTGGGAATTAAAGAAATCCGTCAATCCACCTATAAAAATGGCATTAAAAGCAAAGTACACTTTTTAAGCTTCGAGCAAACTACATACACATTAGAGATTTATTTACGACTTGGGGAAACAAATCCGCACAAGCATGCACGTATTGTCGCGAAAAATATGTCAGCAGACGAGCGGACGGCAAGAGATAATCGCTTGCCTCGTTTTGTATACACACGACGAAGCGCTTCCTAACAGAAACGATTCCCCTTTGAAGACAAACAAAAGGAATCCCTGAATGATTCGTGTAAACGAATGCAAAGCGCCAAAGCATGTTGTGTTTGTAAAATCATCTTGTTACTCTTCAGAACCACTACCACCGAACTAATTCAAGTTCGAATGGGCCGTGTATACGACTTCCTGAGTATTTGTCAGCTTGGAAATGGTGCACATTTTTTGCTTTAAGCCAAGCAGGGTTCATCATTTCCGATGCAACACTCACAAGGCAGGGAATTCAACGTACTGCAGGCAATTAAGGAGAATATTTAGAATGAATTAATTCCACCGTTTGTTAAATAGAGGACATGTTCATTACGACATGCAACTAACTCTACAACACACCCGCGAATTGTTTTTTTTCCGTTACATTAACCTCAGATTCCTAACTCTACATCATCTAATTCCACTAAAGCAACAAGGCATCTTCCTAGTAATTGGCAAATAAATATTCACACGCCTTTAGAGCGACTTACAACCTCACAAAACACTGTAACATGTGACAGGCAAAAATAGAACCCTCATAAATCGAACGAAGAATTATGGCTTACCAGTGCAAACACATTCGAGCAGCATTCGTCCAAGTCTGAGCCATGAAGCATGGGATTCGAAGCAGTCATGCTAGGAGCATGACTTCCTAAACATCGGACCTAAATAACGAGCAAAACTCAAGGAAAAGCGAGCCGCTAATCGTTTTTCGTTCAAAGGAAATCGGAAAAATAAGATGGCAGCAAGTGACGTTGCCGAGGCGGGCATAAACTGTGCGCTGATTGGCTGGTTTGCCCCACGTGACGCAAAGGCACGGGTCAAAGCTCTCTGACTTGATGCTTTTGAGAAGTGGCTTCAAAGAAGAGCAAAATATACAATTTATTTACCAATGATAACTTTTTTCGCTTATCTGTGGGCTAAAGAATAACGAAAACTCCGGAGAGAATTTCCTTTTAGCGTTTTCTTCATTTAATGCTAATTTTGTGGCAATCAGTGTTTTTCGAGGGGCCGGCTAAATCGTGACCAAAATATCGTTAACTCCGGGGTGTCTTAGCAAAACTGATAATCTTGGTGGGAAGTGACAATTATAAACAAAATTTGACTTACGGCCAGCTAAAGAAAAATTGAAAAAATTAAAATTAACAGTTTCTTTTCAAAAGATAAATTGACTGCTTTGTAATTTTTCCCCTAGGTATTCTGTTTTTTGGTGAAGTTGTGAGGAAAGTTCAACGCCCTTGTGCATGCTTAGGGGTGATCAAAATCTTCATACGCGAGATTTTTAGTGTCAAGCTGTGAATCGCCATAATATTAAAAAGACAGAAAAGATCACTTTTTAAACCAGTATTATACCGGTATAAATTAAATGTTAATAGGTAAAATTCATAATATTTAGTAGATACAATGCAAATTGCCTAGACTGAAATTTAGGTTCAAATATCTATCGTATACCGGAGAAATATCAGTCTACTAAACTTCAGGAAAAATTAAAATAGTGGTCGCCCGAAAATAAGAACGCAAAGATTTTTTATCTTGAACAATTATCTTCTGTGTGTGTTATAAGCAAATGCTGGAGACCTTGCGAAGACAATACCAAAACCCAATTATTGTTTATTTTTCGGGTAATTGTTCCTTGAGTATGAATCTAAAATGATCAAAACACCTTCACTTAGTTTAAAGATGTCAAATTTCGGGAGAAAAATGTCCGTAATTTTCAACTGAAATATCAACAAATTGCAATTCTAGAAGTTCTGAGTCAGTTCTTGCTTAAAATTGACATCTGAGTAATTTCGACAAGCGATTTGAGTTTTTTAGTTGTCTATCAAGATTGCGAAACTTTTTCATTTGTGGTTGGACAGATCAAGATGTAGCATATAAGCGACTAACGTGTAAACACTAAGTTAACCGACAGAAATCGAACATTAATGTATTGCGCAAATTTAACTTCATTTTTTTTTTCGTTTAAGCTACATCCAACAGAAAAATATCCCTGCATGCATGTGTTAGCTAAAGGTGCCGACTTTTAAATCCGAGTACAAGACACTGCAGACACTATATAATCAGTCGTTGTTGAAAAAACAGACTTCTTTAGGCAAATAAGCGCAATCAGGGATTGTTTTGACAGCTCCGAAACGCGGCATAAAGTTTATACCATTGTGACTATTCAACTATACCCAGAGAGAGATGAAAATGAGTATTCAGAGCCATTCACAATATACTGTAATTGGGACTTGGTCATATCACTAAGAACGGTCCCTTTTTCGGTAAAGAGTGAAAAATATCTTATCAGTGGAGAATTTATGGGAATAGCAGCTGGGTTCTTTTTTAAACAATAGCAAAATTGTCAAATTTGTGTCAATTTTGGCACACCTTAACTAAAAAGCAGCGCCAAAATGGGGAAAGATTTTGGAACGCTGAAATCACTTAAATGGAGTACAGCATTTTTACCTCGACGCAGTTGAAATGGACTGTGTGTTCCATTTAATTCATTTAAATGATGTCGCTAGTTTAGCATAACACACCAATATGCAAGTCGGGTAACACCATGAACATTGGATAATTTGGTGGGAGAGAAAATTGAAGAAAAACTTCTGAAAGAAATGGCAAATTCATGATTAAAGAAAAGCTGGATTGTAAAACATACCACACGCGTCATATTAGAGGCTGTAACTTGTACTGAAAATGTGAACGTTTGTACATTACATGTATCTTTCTGAAATATTTTATTTGTCGGCTTAGTTAGGATATTTGCCATGACATTGATTTACCCCGGCTTGATTTATACTTTCAACAGAGTCAATAATTTCACATATGAAACTAATCAATAACACTTTTCCTAACTAATAACTCCTGAACTGTTATACATTCTTCATTTACAGACTTTACACATGTTTACAGTGATACAAGACTACATAACATGTGTTGACCGTTTCCTGATTGATAAGAACATTAAACGTTTGGTGTGTTTTCTATAAAAGTGAAAAAATACGGAAACCGAGTCGGATGTCCTAAAAACTAAACCGAATAAATCCCGGACTCGTTGCTAATTTGAGGTTAGCCTATTCCAGGAGTTCAGATGGTAGGAAGCGGGCAAAAAATTAGGACGCGGGCGAAAAATTGACGAGGGAAAAAAAAGGGCTCGTTTTTTTTCCGCTCGTGTTTTTTTTTGCGCTCGCCGCGTACGATTTAACTTGCTCCCCATTATCTAAACGTCCGATTTACTTATGAACCAAGTCAGATGTGTTTATTACCTTTTTTTGCTATATTAGACATTATTGCTCTTGACCGTGTCCCTGAAGGCTTTTTGACTGGCGTGTCTGGGATTTTATAAGGATCCAGAGGTGAAGAGACTCAGGGTACCGTGATTCCGCCACAAACTTTATCGATTTGTTTACCTCGATTTTTTTACGGTTTGAATCTTTAACGTTGCATTTTTTAATATAAAGCTGTTTTCTCACTGAACAAAAAGAACACAGTGAAAAAAAAAGAAAGAAAGAAAATGGTCTCGGAAACTGGTTAAAAAAGCAAAACGAGCAAGATGGAAAAAAGGACTCCGTCGCAAACGAGACTCGATATTTCGCTGCGTGTTTTTATAGCTCCAAACAGGGCCTTGTTATCATGACCCTCCATATCATCGTGACCATTCAACTCTACTACGAGGAAGACAAAAATGAAAATTTGAAGCCCCCCAAAATACTTCAATTAGTAAACTTTCGAAAATCACTAAGAGCGGTCCCCTTTTTAAAGGGTGAAAAATATCTTATCAGTCAAAAATATATGGCAATGGCAGCTGGGTACTGTTTTTAACAATAGCAAAACTGTCAAATTTGTGACAATTTTTGTACATTTAAAGTTACTGTAACAAGTAGCGTTAAAACATGGCGCGGCGGAAGGAATTTAAACACTGAATACAGGTACCTAAGTAAGTGTAGATAGCATTGGAAAACAATCGTTTTCTGCTCAAAATCGGTTTTTCAGGGCAAAAGTGCTAGCGTGGTGTTCCCGCGCGCACATCCCTGCATGGTGTGCATCATTAGCCATGAATAAAACAAACGATGATTTTGACGAAATTTTTCGGCCTGTAGAGAGAGGGGGAATATTTTTGCTTAGTACCTTTGGTAACGAACCCAGAAGTTTAATGGCCTTAGCTCCCACAAGTCTCATTAAGCTCAGCTGTAAAGCAATGGTGATAGCACCTAGACTAGTAACCAAAATGACCTGGGGCCTACCTCTTTACTTAAGGAGGACCCAAGAGTTCTTTTGTTTCGAATTGCCTGTGTTCCTGACCGACTGAAGAAACAAAAGTCTCACTATTATAACACCTCAACGACATCTGCGCAACCGTAGTTAATTTAAGTGGAATGGTTGGGAAACCCTTTGTTATATATTCCCAAGCGCCTTTCCGCGCTTCAAATTTCCTTTCGATATTCCTTTGCGAGAATGAAAAAGTGGCGACTGAGTACGAGTCTGCGCTCCCTGCACTCTGCACCTGAACCATTTCATCCATTTGTTTTTTTACTTAGTACTGGAGCTTAACGGTTAGTTGTCGTATTTTTTTTTTAAGTTATGAACCCGGGAAAGCACTTTCAAACCAATAACGCAAAAAATTCAACACTAGTTCCAAAGGGGAAGCCACTAGGGAATGCAAAGGGTGAGCAACCAAGGAGCACAAAGGGCAATCAACTAGGAAGTGCAAAGAGGAGGCAACTAGGGAGTGTAAGGGGTGAGAAACCAGGAAGTGCAAAGGGGAAGCAACTGGGGAGTGTAAGGGGCGAGCAACCAGGAAGTGCAAAGGGGAAGCAACTGGGGAGTGCAAAGAGGAGGTAACTACGAGGTGCAAGGAGTAGGCAACTAGGGAGTGCAAAGGGCGAGAAACCAGGTAGTGCAAAGGGGAAGCAACTAGGGGGTGTAAAGGGCAAGCAGCCAGGGAGTACAAAGCGCGAGCAACTAGGGAGAGTAAAGGGCGAGGAACTAGGGAATGCAAAGGGCGAGCAAGTAGGGAGTGCAAAGGGGAAGCAACAGAGGGTGCAAAGAGGAGGCAACTAGAGAATGCAAAAGGCGAGAGCAAGTAGGGAGTGCAAAGAGGGGGCAACTAAGAAGTACAAAGGGCGAGCAACAGGAGAGTGCAAAGGGCGAGTAACTAGGGAATGCGAAGGGCAAGCAACCAGGGAGAGCAAAGAGGAAGCAACTAGGGAGGGCAAAGAGGAAGCAACTAGGGAATACGAGGGGCGAGAACCTAGGGAGTGCAAAGGGCGAGCAACTAAACGCTGGTTTTCACTAGCGACGGATTCAGAGTCGGAGTCGTAAGAGAGCTTATGACCTAGTGAAAATAAAAAATTGGAGTCGTAAGCTGAGTCATAACCGCGACAGAATCGGAGTCAGAAGAATCAAAACGTTTCCATTTCTTCCGAAGAGGAAACTAGGAAGTAAAAAGGGGAAGCAACTAGCGATTGCAAAGAGGAGGCAACTAGGGAATGCAAAGGGCGAGCAACCAGGGAGTGCAATGGGCAAGAACCTAGGGAGTGCAAAGGGCAAGCTACTATAAGAGTGCAAATAGGAAGCAACCATTGGGTTCGAGGCAGGGTAAAACATATTCCACTCCCTGGTAGCTCGCCCTTTGCATTCCCTGCAAAGGGGAAGCAGCTAGCGAGTGCAAAGAGGAGGCAACTAGGGAATGCAAAGGGCGAGCAATTAGGGCGTGCAAAGGGAAGGCAACTCGTGGAAAAACAGCAAATTCTGTC